CGAAAACCCTGATACGAAAATCCGATTCGAAATAAGGCATCCGTCTATTCCTATATAATTCTTGTCCAGTCGATTTCTGTAGCTGTACTGGACGATAACGAAATCAAAATTTATCCAATTTGACTGACTGATTTGCATAAATAAATGGAATCCTGGAAAAATTGAAAATACGAGGATAGCTAAAATCAATATTCATTTAAACCGCAATTTCACGGTCCTCCTCAGAATAATTAATATCGTCAAACCGCAAGCGCGGCCGAGTACGTGATTTATTATTACGATCGGCCGTATGCTCGCGAGTATCGCATTAAACAATAACGACAAACGCGCGATCATCTGAATTTATTATCGCCGCAGGAAATTGTACAATTTAACTTTATAATTTAAAGCTATAACTAAATAAGACTAATAAATGGTCGTGCAGAAAGACAACTACAATAGTAAAAGGCGAAGAAGAAACATATACCAAAAAAAAGACGTTGTACATGTATGTAGAAAATATTACTTTAAAGAAAAATTTTGTTCCCCACGTATTGATCTATCGATATGAGTTTCACTGGATACAAGAAGAGAATGAGATTTATAAAAAATGAGGAAACGAAAGCGCACGTTGACAAGCTAAGCAGCTTTCGCGGGAACGTGGAGGCTAAATCGCACGTACGATAATGAAAATGGCAAAAAGCACTCTGCTGCTAATTAAGAGAAGATCGTGCAACGTACTCCTTTGAGCGTTGGGATTTCATCAAGCATACATATGTAGGTATCGAGTTTCAGTTCGAGCTTTTTTACGCTCATGACAAATTATCCCAGACATTGCTTTAATGAGTTGAACACGGAGTAATCTCTTTGTGTACAGTGTAATTATTTCCGATTTAAAAGCTGATCATAATGAACGCAGTAATTGAAACGAAAACAAATAATTTTATCGGATTTTAATTCAACCAACTCCGCGAATCGCATTAATACTTTATCCTTATCATGTCCCATGTATATATTTTACAATGCCGTGCGTATCTCGTGAACGTGAAAGAAATATCCAAACAGTAATAATTCTTATCCCTTCACTGATATTTGCACTCGCAAAAATATTCTCCAAGCACATTTTTAATTCCCTCCACGGTGACCAGGGAGTATTTATGAACAGTCCATCTTTCATCTCCCGCTATTAGTATGCAGGGAAACGTTTCTCCGAACAAATACGACGCAATAATAAGTTGAGTGAAGCAGTCTCTTATAACCGTAGTAGCTAGCTGGTTATACGACGTAGGGCGGTCGTTTATTTCGTCGAGTTATATCGCGAAAAGCGCCGAAGGGAGCGTGTCCGTATCGGAAGGCATTTCAGCCATGTATCGGGCACGATATTTCCCAATAAAAGCATCTTCGGGTCAATCGGACGTATCCGCGGTGGACGAAAAGGGTCAGGGATATATCAATCGAGTGGAACCCTTTTGTGCGGTCGATTGATACACTCTCCTACTGTCTGACCGGAACCGACCGCATCATAGTCCTTTCGCGACGATATCCTGTCCGATCCTGCAGAAACTGATCAATATTTTCAAATATCATAGCATTCGCTATCTTCATTTCACTCCTCTTAAAGATATTTGTTCTGAATTATGTAAATAAATTAAGAAATAAAAAATTCATATAAAATGCCTTGTAAGGAAACAAAAGAATGTTCAATTATTTCATAAGAAAACTTTTATTGGAATATTATGTATATTTCACTAGGTACATAGGTTATCGGATTTGGGGGTTGGAAGCGTCAAGATTGGAACGTGATTTGTGGTTCACCCTGTATTACACATATTATTTCTATATTTAACTATTTTATTTCATAGTTTTATTAATAAGAGGCGTCAGCTTTATTGATAAATAGCATCGGATTTATTAATAAAAAACAAGCATCTCATTAGGAAATTATTCATTAATACAGTTCATGAAATGGACGTTAATATAACTGAATCGCGTAGGGACCATTTTTATCACATTGCTTGTAATTTCGTTTAATTTCCAGTACATTTACGTACTTATTCTCCGGTGCATTGTAATCCGCGAATTTTTCTCCACGGAATATACTCGCAATAATATTTCACACAAATAATAACGGATAAAGGTCGCTTATCGCTTTTAACTTTTAACATTCGCATGCTGTTAATTTTCGGCCACGTTACGCATGAACGAGTCATTTACAGGATTTCGGTAATATTACGGGAACAGCAAAAATATGTAACAGTGTAAATATTATTGCACGATCAATTTTTTGGTAGTTCAAGTTTTTTAACAAAATCCTGCGCCTGTTCAATAATCCATATTTTATTAATGAACTGCGGATTTTGTGTATGAAAAATTGAATGGGCAGGAAACGTGAAATAAAAATATGCAGAACGTTAAAAATGCAATGCTCGCCATTATTTTTTAGAATAAAAGAAATCTGAACCTGGATTTCCTTTTTCACAGATTTTATTTTGCACAAAAATCCGTAGTCTATTTATTAATTATTACTCGGACACGGGAGTTTCCTTCTTTTTAGCAAACAAATAAACGCGTCGTTTATTTACTAACAAAAACTTGTCTATCGAATTAAACGAGAAGCCTCGAAGACGATTCGCGTTTCCAAGAGGTAATGAACTCCGCTTCAGAAGCTGCGACAAAGCATACCTGCCAGACTACGAAGCCAGGCTTGATCAAAAGCACTGGGGTGAAAACATGATCGCAGTGAATCTTCGCGAGCGATTCTTCTGTTTATCGTGTAATTACTATTTTCAATTAACCCGACCCCGGATCGATTATTTATCACCCGAACGAAGGGGCGTCCTGTGTTGATTGGTTTCTCTGTATAATTCACTTTTCCGCCGATCCGCTGCAAACTACCGCCGCGCACTTTTCCGCAAAATCAACCGTGATCGAACATTTGCCAGAATAAAACAGGAACTTCTTACGCTTTCTAAATATGCACGTATTTTCCCTTGTGTATTTCATACCGTTCATTATTTGCACATCATCATTGAGCAAATGACCAGCTGGTTGAAATAACAAAGAATACTGCATTGTGTTCGTTCTTTGAATTGAAAAATTTGCGACGGCGTATTTCCTTCTGTTGGTACGATGCTTGAAGAAGCATTCTTGCCGCTGATCGAGCCATCAGCGCGTCGCTTTGAATGTCCAACTATAAAGATGGAGGAAGCCTCGACAGGACTTCAGATAGCCCTAATGGCCGAAGAGGAGCGTTAGGTGGAGAGCTATATGACAGGAAGTCGGGCAACAGGGTGGAAAGAGCCGGCACAGAGAGAAAGTAACGAGAAGAATGGAATGGAAGAGCAAGAGAAAGATCGAGCAGAGAGGGATACGAGTAGAATCTCGATGGTTAAGTGGTTATCTTATCTTAACGGTTGCGCGGCCAGGTCTGACGCCCTAACGCTTCCCAAACGGAAATTAACACCCCTCTTAGCTCGCAGTGCCCTTCTTACCGGTCGCCGTTTCTGTCACGTTTTTTGAGGCGAGAATCAATGGGTATTATATCTCGCGTTTCGACGTGATCCCCTCTTATCGGCTCGGACAAGGAACACCACGAGACTGTTTGTTACACAACGAGAGCGTTAATTTCCTGAAGCTGCGCGTCGATATCCGTGGACGAGAGTTCTCACCTCGCCGTGCAAGCGGTGTTCACAAGAAAAAGGAAACGCTCGATAGGGAACCTCGGTTCTGGGTTTCGTTCCTTCGGGTCGAAACTGCGCCGACGTAACGAGCCCCCTTAATGGGAAAATACTACAAACACCATTGCGATCTGGTTCGGTAGTTTACCCCAAATGGCATTGTACATTGTTTAGTGGAAGAACAAATATGAAGATTTTTAAAATGCAGTTAGAGAAATGTTATCCTTCAAGTACAGTTTAATCAATCGTATACATTCTTTCCGAACGGTAAAAGTGGAGGAATTTTATTTGAGAAATGAAAGGAATATAACGCGACACGTGAGGAAGTATTTCTGCCGTTTCCCGTTTGAAAAATGGCGTTATATTTCTGATGAAAGGTCAACTGCGAACGAACGGGTCATCACACGATATCCCGTGATCCAATTTCCTTGGTCGTCCGGGGATAGCCGATACTGATAATTACCCGGTGATACGGTTAAATTTTATTCGTGGGAATTACGTGGCCGCCAGAATGCATATCGATGCATTCTGCCAGGTAATTACGTCATACGAAATTATTAGCGAGGCTGTTCCGCGGCTATGCGGTTCTTTCGCTCGTGTGACGGCCGACAGCGTTCGAAATTGAATTCCGAATCCACGTTCGGCCCTCTATCTTAAAATCCCGCGGCGTTTAATTATTTTCCGCACATTGGAGAAAGATTGTATCGCCGCTGCACAACGTGTTGAAAGAGGCTGGCAGGTGTTGCCAAAAATTGACGCGGCCGATAGAATATAAAAGGTGTCGGAAGAAGAAAAAACCTGCGCCTCGGTTCACGAATGAATTATGCATCGGGTGTATTATAACACGAGAGTATCAGTTTTGAGTGTAAATATGCAATGAGAATGTAGAAATGGGGCCAGAAAAATTCATAACGCTCTCTAGGTGAATCCGGCCTTGACAATCTATTCTACCAATGAATAATTTGTAATAAATCTGGTAAACATTTTTAATTAACTATATTTCATTTTATTATTGCAAACAATGTATTTACAATAAATAATATCGGTAGACTGGGAACGTTATCTGGGATTATCAATAATATGTTGTTATCTAAAGGCAGGCCTTATCGTACGATCTTTCTGTGATATCTGTAAAACAAAGAGCACGCCCCGATGGGCCATGAATATTCCGAGTGTCGCTGGGTCGGGCGAAGGGGTGCGCGGTAGCACGAGGTGACGGAAAGTTTCCGGTGGCGTATCGCTTTTACCGTTCGTCGAGATATATTACATACATACGTACACACATAGGTAGGTTGTGCATAAACGTCAGCCGCATTAACGGGAACGTTCAATATTCGGCCGCAGGTCTCCGTGCAGGAGGAGGGCGAGGACAAGGGACCAATTTGCCCTCCGCTTCCGGCGCAGTACCAACCGGCCGGGTACACCACGACGACACCGCAGCTACACAAAACTATCACGGATTACAGCGGTTGGTAGCGACGTTAAGTGTTGACACTTTGAGCCTTCCGAACTCGCCGTGTGCATGCGCCGATTTAAATTAATTCGAACGCAGACCGGACACTCGAGTTTGACGATTATCAGCATGACCCGCGATCACTTAGCCTCACGATTTTCACGTAAAATGAAATTATTATTAGAAAAATGAAAATTTTAATTCTAATGATAATAAATCATTGCGTACGTTTACGAACGTTGTTGTAAATGCATAAAATTTACAGTCTGATTATTATGTGTTAAATGGATTTGATAGAGCCAACTCGAAATTTTCGTAATAGTCAAAGTAGAAACTACTGTGTTTAATCTTCTGATCGTTAAAGTGTAGTTTGCGAGCAAATGTACAGGTGTGCAAAATTAAGGCCAAGATTGGTCTAGTAGAGTACGAGCTGCAATTCGGTTTAAAACGATTTTTTATTACCGTTTCATATCTGAATCTTAAAGAGAGTTTCTGGAAACTGGAACTGGAGCGCACGGAGTTTCGAATATTATTGAAGTTGCACGTTTTTAATGAGAACTCCGAATACTGATGATCTAATAAACGGATTTATCCTCGTTTCTGGAAACTTGTTTTTCAATGTTCGACGAAAATTTCGAGCCGGTGCCCTCGAGATTCGTCGGGGGTTAATTTAATAGCGGGTAAAACTCGGAACGAGCGGGCACGCGTTGCGGTGCATTATCGAGTTTGCGTTTGACTAAAATTACATAAAATCGCGGCGAACTATAGCCGTACGGTCGCGACGATAAACGCAACACCTACCGTGATACGCGAGCGTGCACCGTTCGAATTAAATTACGGGCTAATGATCGCCGTATTATTACAGGGTGGCGACACCTAAAGGCGATGCTTACGCGGGCACAAATCATATTAAACCTAGTAATTTGTCAAAGCCCGTCTCGGGTTTCAACCGATCGGTTTTTAATCCATCCTAATTTTTATTCAGCATCTCGCAACTTTGTACCTCGAGCACTTTTTCTACAGGGAACAAGTTAAATACAATTAGCCATTAATTCGTGTACAATGGAAAAATTTAATTAAACGATGAATATCATATTCCAAACTGTTCTTCATTTCAACAGGTCGACGTTGTTTGAATAGTTGACCAATTATTCTCCACGATCCTTCGTACGGATATAAAAATTTATTCCATCAGACGTTTGAATTAAAAATGGATTTCATCTAATTAAGACTGGAAGTCGCGTGATAAAACCTTTCAGTGTCAATTAAACGAAGTCGTACGTATAATACAATGAGACCAACGCGAATTCATTTAACAATTCATTTGTGATCATAATTAGGCTGCAGATTATTATGCAAAACGAAGCGTTCAAACATTGCCGTTGATTTTCTATATATTTTTACATATTACAGCCAGTGTTCATATTTTCTACACGTCCAATTTCATGAGCAGTCTAATCATAATAAAATGTAACAAAAAACAGAAATAGAATTCGTTGACAAAAAAAAATCTCTTAAAGAGGAGGAAGTGGTCGTTCGAAAATTCGGAGAGCATGCAACGAGAGTAGCAATTTCTTTCGTGCGCAACGGCCATCGTGTCTCTAACATTGTCAAAATTCTTTTTTCCTTTCCGCTCACGATACACCACCTATCGGCGGGCAGGGATCACGGAGGTGCAGCCGGTTATTCCGCTGTTGCTGAACACGGCGATCAATCTTGCCAGGCCAATTCCGCCGGTTCAAGAATATCCATCTAATCCGCCGCCCATACCGCCGCCACCGGAAAAGTATTACGCCAGCACGGAGATCTGTAAGGTGGGTATCAAAAATGTACAGCAGACATGCGATCCGTGACGATTAGGCCGCTACCCTCGCCGGGTGAAAAAGGGGATATTAATGCGGGCCGCTTGGGAAACTGTGTCAAACCCGGTCGGTTCGTGACTTCGGTATTTTATGTCCCTTTACATCGCGGCGGCCACTTAAATCGTTACCCTTTCACGAAACTGACAGTAGGCAGTCTCTACGCGTGATAAACTCTAGTCCTTCAACTACACGACTTCGACAAAAATCGTAATACGTTTTAAAATTTACAATTGAATTATTTATGAGACAAGAAATGAAACAGTCAAGAGTTCTAAAAATATGTACATCTCATATGGTTGCATTCAAGTGTTATATTCGCCTCTGACTACGTTATGTTCACTTATTTTTAACACGGATTGCATGTCACGTTTGCAATGGGAAAGGAAACTGGAGCCGTGATTAATCCCTTGTACTTTACACTGTTTTGTTTTAATTGGACGTTTAAAGTTCGTTGTACGGGCGTTCAACGGCGCGTGGTAAAACGGTTCGCGCGGGGAATAATGAAGCTTAATGGATGAAAAACAAGGGAGTCTGGGTGGGACTATCAATCATGACTAATGCGAGACCCTCCAGGGGTACGTCTTATGTACACTGATCACTAGCCGATAGTGTAAAGTCTGTGATTATTGATTGCTCAGCTGACTCGGGTGTATTTTAATTTTTCGGTGATCCAACTTGAGCCATCAAATCTTAACCTTCGGTCATCTGATCTCGTACTGGCAAAGTTTGAAGTAAATGTAATTAATCTTTTAAGTATTAGATCTGAACTGCCAGTGTTCTAAAATAAACTTCAACTGTCGTTATTTAAACAACTTCCATCGACTCATCTCGAATTTACTAGAAAAGCACAGAACTGACTTTCGCTTAAAAACCATTGCAATTTATTTAGAACGTCTTGAGTGAAATGTTACTTTCCCGACTTACATGACAGCTTGTTATCTATTTTAAATGCTATTGCTTCTTTCTATACGACGTGGCTAGGAAGTACATTGCCGATGCGGACCACGCAGGCGTCAGATCCCCGTGCAGAAATATCGTAAATAGCCTGGGGAGTTTTTTTATCCGCCTGCGAGTTTTATTACAGGATTCGCTGCCACCGTTGCCGCCATCCCCGACACCGAGCACGCCACCGCCGATGAGCGGCAAAGCCTCCAGCAGCATGACAAGCTACAGTCCCGAGGATATGCTCACGGAGGAGGAGGACGAGGTTCCCGAGTGCATCCTGGACTTCCCTCGGGAGAAGCTGAACATCGTCGAAAACCTCGGCTGCGGATACTTTGGCGACGTGCACGTTTGCGAGGTCGACAGGTTTCCCGGGTACGACGAAGTTTTCCGGAACACCAACAGCGACCTAGTGATCGTTAAGTCCCTGAGACCCGGATCTTCGGATGCGCTTAGGTAAGGACCTGCTATTATCCAGTTTCCATTTCCAAAGTTGATATTATTTATGGAATATACAGGATGATTATTTATGGAATACACAGGAAGATATTAATCTAAATTCCATTAGCTCTTATCATTGGGTGTGACAGTTTGTTTAAGTGAACGAAAAAAATCGAAGCTGACAGAATTTCGGTATAAACAACGTAACGGTTATTTTTTTTAATAATTTTGATATTAATTGGAGTAGTCGAGTTATAGAAACAGGCAGCCAATTTTAACAAACAATCGGGATCTGTATAATAGATTTTTTTTGTCGTCAAAGGTTCGATATTAATTGGGATATGTATGAGAATTGACAGCGAATTTCAGTGTACGCAGAGGCACTGGTAGCGGAACGTGCACTGGTTGCAACGCAACGAATTGCAGCCGTGTCAATAGCAGAGTAATAATTGAGTAATAGTTTGTATCGCGCACGTACGTGGGCGGGTTGTTACAGCGTGTGAATGAAAACAGCTTATTGGTAGCTGTTATCGACAAACGTTTCGATTCCGTAGGTTCGGCTGCCTTTAAAAAAACAGCGGCGTGAACACTATTGAAGAAATTTCAAAGAAAATTTCAGCCCGAAAATGAATAAACGTTTCAATTCGCGCCGGACCAATAGAATTTATCGTGGCAATTTCTTCGCAATGGTTGCTCTCGAAACAACACGGGGGACGGGGGTGATAGGCGTTGCGTGAAAATCGGTAATCGATAAAGCTACCGGTCATAATTAAATGTGCCAATAGAAGTGAATGGAACAACGCGTTTATCGGCGGCATTCGTTTAAGTTGCTAAATACAGTGATCGGAACTATTAAGCGGGCGATATTTCACGGCGGCTGGAAAATATGGGGAAGCGTAGGATAACCGGAAAATTATCCCATCCGATTACGAAGCGCTCTCATTCGTTTATTATCCTCCGCCTAAATATAGGGCATCGATAGAAAATTATCCCAATCGATTAAGTATATCCGGGAGGCCGGGGGCACACGTTAACGCGGTAATACGATAAACGGGGCGCAAAGTGATTTCGTACATAATGACGGCGTGTATTAAGGTTAACGTGTATTAAGTTGCTGCCGCCGCTGTTGCAACCCGGAGAGAAAGTGTTAAACGGTCAATGACTGGCGCATAATCGAATAACTTGTCCGCCGCCGCTACTTTTCCTGACGAGACAGCCGGCCGCTGGCCTTTAACAGCTCCTAAAACACGGTTCGTTACCTGCGATTGACAATAGCCCCGTAATTGACCGTATGCAAGTTTCTCTTTGAAACTGGCACCTTCTGTGGCGCCTCAAACCGCGAGAAACTGTTTAAATCCCTGTACGTGTCTCGGCGCCGCGTTTTAATAACCGAGTTTGGACGTTTTCAATGCGCACAAAGCGAGCTAACTCGTCGCGGTGTTAAATTTATTATTAAATTATAAAGTATAAGCTCGCTGGGAAGAGTTAGACGTTTCATTCAACTCTATTTGCTTGCCTTTGTTTATGGAGCTTTGATAGACACAGAGAATATCATTTTTAATTAACGTAATACAAATCGACTCAATAAGAATTGTTATTCAAAATAATGAAATGTTTACTGATCCTCTTAAAAGTCTTTAGAATATTTTATTAAATTGTAAAGTTCAATATGATTCTTATACTTATTCATTCTGTGTGACTTAAGGTTGTATGAGCCGTAACATCTCTGCCAAAAGTTTAAGACATGTAATTAAAAGCTGTGTCCAATATTTGAAGCAATGGACTTTTAGAAAAAATGATAATTACAGAGGAGTAAGATTTATAAAATCGTTTCACCTTTTTTTCTCAGTCATAAGGAATTTTTAACGCATAATTTCTAAAATTTTGTACAGTGTTTTATTAATGTAATAACTGTTAAAATTTCAATGCTTTGTCAATATTTTTATGTAAGGGTTCATACAACTTTAATAATGGCTCAAGCAAATAAACTAGTATAAACTATCTAGTTTTTCGAATTTTTCACTCGTTTCTGTCGAGAGCAAGGAAGAAAGTAGAACCGGAAGTACGCGATAAAGCGTGTCCCGGCGAGGAACACGCGATGCGTTATCGCTGGCACGGTGAAAGGATGATCCGGGTAGACAGGATCGAGGATTACAAGGCTCGCTAACATAACGGAACGTGTATTGTCGTCGAGGAGCCTCTTGAAGGGACACTGGGAGTTCAATCGAACTCGCCTGCGCCTTTTTCCATGCAAACTTGGTGTCCAACTGGAGAACCATTAAAATCGTCCAAACGAGAATAACAAGGAGTAGCACTTTTTATTGGACAGGTCCGACATGCTTTTCCACTTGCAAAATGTGAAAATATAAAATTTTTGAAATAATCATATCGTTTCAATTGTTCTCTTTTTGCATAAATAAAGAAGCTCGACATTTTTTAAATCATTATTTGACTTGCTTGATTCATGTAGCATTATTTGTCTGGGTCGAACGATACCAGCGTTTTCATCAATGTTCTTTCGAGTTTTAATCAACAGTAGCCGTTGAAATTTTCGAAAATTACGATTCGCCGTATGTCGGGAAGTTTCGCGTGGCTCGTCTATTCTGGAAAGTTTCCCCTCGGTTCCCCAGAGAGACGCATTTTCCAGTTTGCCCGTTGACCCGCCCGGCATTAACCGGGGAACTTCTTTGTCGCGCGGAATTACACGAAATAGTGAAATTTATTAATTAGAAGCCGACCTGGAATGGCCCGATATAACGTTGCGCCGACTAACGGCGCCCCATAATTACTCCTCGCAGAAACTAGAATTTCGCGAAACTCCGGCCGGTTGTACTCGCGCGTAGCCGTGTACATCGTGCAAATCCTTTCGCAAATAACTAGCGAATCCGCGAAATCGATCTCCAAACGTTGTTACGTCCGCAATCAACTGTGGACGGGACACGCGTACCTCCTGGCCCCAGGAACGTTCCCGTATCCGGATTCTAAATATTAGACAACTGGAACAACAGCCGGGAAAGCTCTATTAAACACGGAGCGTTCTCGAAACGATAATCTCGGCATTAGCTATTATCCCAGCCCGTGTTACGTAGCTTCTGCCAGCTGCAATCCCTTTTCTGTTGTTCCATCCGTCCCTTGCCCACTCCGACGCGCAACGGCAAGGGAAATAAAACAAGAGGAAAGAAACACAGTGTAGCGACGAGTTACACAGACGGAGTACTCGCATTATTTCCAGTATATATCCGCGTCGCTCCGTATTCAATAGCCGTCCAGGGAAGTCGCAGGACTATAAAGATATTACTTCCGAGCGTACCATGTATTTTCCAGGATAGAATTTCAACAAGAGGCAAAAAGACTAGCGCGACTGGCCGATCGGAACGTCGCGCGGCTACTCGGGGCCAGCCTCGAAGACGACCCCATGTGCATCGTATTGGAAAACGGCGAGTACGGCGATTTGAATCAATACCTGCAGAGCCACATCGCTGAAACGTCCACCATGCATACGGCTAAGACACTCAGGTACGGCTAATTGCTATACTTAATCAATAGACCTATTACAAATTATTGGATTAACTGATAAGTGTTTTTTACCTAAAAAATCAAATTAGTATGCATTTATTTCTTCACAATGAAATTGTATAATGTACATAGGTCGACATGGTAATGACTTCCCCTGGCGATTTGCCCAATTTTTCATGACAAATTATAATTCAGTTAACGGTACGCGTTTGATCGCTCGAAATGAGTCGGAATTTTTTTTATTTTACTGTCACACCGGAACCGACAGTTGCAATCATGTTCGAGACGCGTATGCGGATCAGTCGAAAATGCTCGAAACATGAGAAATCGGCTGAAAATGAGAGGTGAACGACAGAGAAGATCATCGACGCTCGTGACAGCTGTCACTGGACCGTGTTTTTCCCGGGCGTTCGTTCCCACTGATAGTGGATAGATCCGTGCATGGTACATTCTCTGTTTTCGTCGAGAACCGTGTCGAAGTTAGAAAAATTGTGAACCACTCCGTA